TGGGGAAGTGGTCCAGAGGAGTAGTCGGAGGAGGAAGGAGAAGGAAAGCGGCACAACTGTCGCCAGAGGGCCTCTGGACCGGGACTCAGAGTAGTGGGCGGGCCTGAGCCCCCCCCCCCTTCCCCCTTATTGCTTCATTCGGCCATATCCTCAGCCATAGGCCGCAGGGAGCGGCCGGCCGAAACCACGCCAGATCCTCGACAGGAGAGATTGGGCTCAAAGGCGTGGCTGTTGATCACCCCCCCCCTCCCGGAAGGGGGTGTGAGTGGACGGAGGGACTCTGTCGGAGGGCAGTGTTCCTGAAGATGACACCGTACGTTGGGGCAACGCAGTTTACGCACCTAGCGAAGGCGGAACGACAGACGGGACGCTACCCGAAGAGGGCGCTCCTCTGGTTCAGACTAATTCCCCGAGACGACCAGGAAGAGGCGCCACCGCGGTGAGTCCCGCAAACCTGTCACACACTGTCACAGCCAAAGTTCTCAACATTGGGCTTAAGAGAAATATTGAACACATACTGAGTACCCTGATGCCTATTTCTGTAACCTTGAACAAAATGCAGGGAAATAGCTGTTTTATTGCTGATGCTGTTGAGATTTGGAAGGAACTGAGAGATCTTAAAAAGAGACATATGCAATGGCAGAGTTAAATTACAGGCATTAAAAAAAAATGAATGGGACAAGTACTATCTCCAGCTCATTTTCCTGCAAATGTTCTCAATACTTGGTACCAGGGTCAAACCTTAACTGCTGAAGAGGGGTTGGCTATGACATGGACATCCAGCAATCATCCCTCCATAATGCCAACTATAATAAACTTCAGAGCTAAGGGTAAACCATTCAAGAAATATACGTTTGCTGATGTTTTAAAGAAAGTCACACCAGTGAACTGGTGGAAGTCACTTCAACAGTCTCTGAATCCAAGTGCTTAAGTGATAATCTCACTTTTAACAGCAGTAGCTTCTTCTGCCAGTGTAGAAAGAATATTTTCTTCCTTTGGACTAATTCATTACAAATTGAGAAATCGTTTGGGTCCTGAAAAAGCAGGAAAGCTTGTTTCTCTTTTCCAGATTATGAACAAACAGGAAAATGAAGGTGAAGACGACTGAGTTAGCTGCAGAAGCCAATATTTTAAGTTTCTCATGTTGACCTGGCTGACATAGTCGAGTTAAAAAAAATTTAGCTATTTTAGTTAAACAATTTTAACAAAAACAAACCTGATTTTAAAAAACGTGAATGTTTAACTAAATTCAAAATTCATATGCTTGTTTTGTTAAAATATGTTTGCTGTTGAAGAAAAAAATCCAGAATACATAATGTTGTTTTAGTTAAATAAAACAATGTAAAGGTCTGTATGGTGATGTTCTCCTCTTAACAGAGCATGGCAAGAAATATTAATATTACAAATATTAATGATTAACCTGTTGAATTGGAGATATTTATGAAATCATTGGGAGGTGAACTATCTGCTTCAATTACCTTTGGTAAATGAAATAATCATTCACTTTCTGATATAGCTGTAAAACTAATCTGAAAAGTTTTCAAAATAAATCACTTTAAAAATGTATAGTGTGTACCTTCTAAAAATTAAACCTATATCTCTCAGTTGTGAAGAATATGTTTTAAGGTTATAACAACTAACAAGAATGCACTTTTATGTAGACATCCATAATTAAATAGTCTTCCTGACTAGTGATTTAAATCAAATCCACCCTGCCATGTATACACCTTATTTCAGATCCTTTCCTCCTTCCCTTATACTCATTTTTTCCAAGAAATGAGAAGGAAGTGGAAAATAATCAAATACATAAAATAAGACTAAGTGCTTAAACTGATTTAGATTACCATTTTTAATAATTAAGTGACTTTCCCCAATAAAGGCTTACATTAAAACTTTGTGCTTGTCTTTATAGACCTAACACAGATAAGAGCTGAATATGAACATATTATTCAAAACTAATCAGTCTTATGATTCACACAGCAGACTTATATTAAATGCAATGTATTGTTAGATTATTAAATGTCTTATTTTTATAGCTTGTTTGACTGGAGTGGTTATTTGTATAAACTACCTAATGTCTCATTTGCTTTATAGGGTGCTTTAAACAATCACTTAACGTTCCTTAGAAGTGACAATTAACATACTCTGTTAAAAAAGGAAAAAAGGAAATTGGCTATGCTATCGTTAGGTTAGGAGCTTTTTATAATTATTCTTTACAAATCTTTCAGACCTTATGTTACAACTAGATATAGTGTTTAACTCTTCATAAATGTTGGTAGTTTACATGATCATGTTCTAAATATGGCCCCAAACCTACACATGCACAGTTCCATTGAGCTCAATAGGAATAGCTACATTCATAAAGTTACTCTAAAGTTTTTGCATGATCAGGGCTTGTATCATGATACACTATCTCTTGGTCAGCAACTAAAGAGCATCTTGATTACCATAGCACCAAGGAGTCCCAGGCATGGAGCAGGACCCCAATGTGAGGCGCTATCAAAAACAGAACAAAAAGATTGATTGTAAGCCCTTTGGGGCAGGGACTAATATAATATAGGAGACGATAGAGAGATTGAGAGGGGAGTAGAAGGAAATCAGTGGAAAAGTTTTAGTCAGCATGATAGGCTGTAATTTCAGCACCTCAGTAGTCTGTTATGTTGTGGGTCTGCCAGGGAACTGGTTATGACTCCCCAATTTTCAGGGTAGATCTGTACTGATAGAGTAGATCCTGAGCCTAATGCAAGTTAAAGCTACCTGGGGATTATGCTACCATGAATGTTCCAGCTATGCTCCTCTCCATGTCCCTTGTGTCACAACTGAGTGTGGAGGGGCTGGATGCATCAGCTAAGGATCTGCCTGCTTTCTGGCCCTCTTGTACTCCGCAGGCAACATAAAGGGTCCAAAACACAACTATGAAGCCGATCCTCTTTTTTTTTTTTAAAAAAAGCCCAGTATTAACTGAATTACTTTAGGGGTTTAATATAGATACTTCTCTGGAGTATTTGCATCCCAAGTATTCCGATATTAATTGCTAGTACATCCATTTTACCAAGGCTAGTGATGGATTCTCCATCACTGACAATTTTTAAAACCAAGACTGGATGTTTTTCTAAAAGCTATGCTCTAGGAATTATTTTGGGAAGTTATATGGCTTGTGTTATACAGGAGGTCAGACTAGATGATCACAATGGTCCCATTTGGCCCTGGAATCTATGAAAATTAGAATTGGTTTTTATTGTTTCAGCTGAGTGAAATGTAAGTAGTAAGCAAGCAACAAATACTTGCAAGTAAATTGGATTTTAAAAATTCCTTAGGTTTCAGGAAAGTGTTCTAAGTAACATTGGGCAGGATCCTCATCTAGTGACTTAATTCAACTGAGTTATGCCAATTTATACCTGCTCAGGAAATGGCCCCCCCCTTTTTTTTTTTTTTTTAACATGATATTTTCCCTCTGTCATTTCTTAAAAAGCCCCATGAGATTAGTATAAATTTTATTTAAAAATGCTTTAAGTAATCCAAACGTAAAGTTATCAAAAGAAAAAATACTTTGGAGTCAACATTTTTGTATGGCTACATATAAAAACCCCCTTATCTTTATGTTCTAGAAATATTTTTACACCCTAGAATTTGTGATTCAATAGCAGATTATTTAGAGGAAAAGTGAAGAGGAGGAGATTGAAATTTTAAAATTTCGAAAACTTACTGATGATGTTGGTGTGCCCTGGAACCTAGGATGAAAAGTGTGCATATGGCAAAAGCAGCACTTTCAATAGTGCAGCTGGCAAGAGCAAATCCAAACCATTCAAGAATCTCTCCAAAAAAGTTGGCTCCAGTTACATATTCAAACAATCCACCTAAAGAACACCACATTATTATTACTCTATGCAAGGAAAGTTGCAATGGTACCTGTAATTGTACTAACAGTTCCGTTAGGAAGAGCTGGCTAGATTTCCTTTATTAATCCCATTTGTGGTGAAAGAATTACTTCTTTGCAAGATTTCTACTATGAATGAGTTTCTTTTGGGCTAAGCAGTTCTGAAATCTCAACTTTCAGACAATTTCTTAACTTATTTTGTCCACACTTTAGTAATTTAACTGGTTTCAGTAGGTACTTTTGTGCCTACATTCAGTGTAAAAATAATGTAAAAAGCTGACTGTTCATCCACAAAAAAGTCTTTGTATGTACAAAATTCTAAAATGGGTGAATTATTCATATTTGTGTGTGCTATAGGGGCCCAGTCTTGCGTCCACTTAAGTTAGTGAGACTACTCCCAGTAGTAATAAGAGCAGAAAACAGCCCTAATTTTTCCCTCTAAGGTTAACAAGCATATCTACATTCATAATGGTGCAACACATAATACAGAGTACTCTAGACATCAATTATGCTGGTACAGTAGGCTCTTATGACTGAATGAAAAGCCTACTGACATATTTCTGAAAGTAGGAATATAGATATACAAGACTGATCAATGACTTCAAAACACCTGTAATAATTTACCATGTCAGTTTGCAAGCAACCATACAAAATATATTATGAGTGACTAGCAGGACAAGCTATTCCACTGCTATCCTAATAGCTATAAATATTATACAAAGCTTTGCTGATTATATAAAAAACAAATTCTACTACAAAATGCAGTTTTCCGTTGACTATTCTTGCAGCTGGGTAATAGCAGAGTTACGAGTGTATTCTGGAGGAATTATTTCACAATGGGAAATATTTTTTCCCCAGCTGACAGTGACTTATGTAAGGAGGCCTTAAAGTGGACTGTCCCATTGAGGACACTTGTTAGTTTAGTTATCCAGACCTAGCTGGGATGGAACCAGGTGATCCCTGGGCTGAAGATGGGACTACAGGAGGGCTTTGGTGATTAGCCCTTAAGAAGAGAGAGGGGTTGCTGGGTCCTGGCAGCTTGTTACAATGTACAGTCATTAGAAAAAAAAAAAGTAGCTAAATGTGTATGGTTTCCAGTGTTGGCATGTACAATCCACCTAACAGTACACCTTTATTCATATGCAGATGTCACTCTCTCATGAATTCTCTCATGTTGCTAGTACCTATGCTTGAAAATTTGGCACAAAGCCTACTAGAAATCCTCGACAAATGCCTGTAAAGCAATGGCCAATCTGGTCACAGAGCCCCACAAGTACACATTCAACTAACTGCTTCCAAGTTTTGAAATATATGTGAGAGCCAGAATTTATGAGAACTCAGAAGTGTGATATTTCTATTTATAAATGATAGCCTTTTTGAATAATACCATACTGTTTTCAAAGGGTAATTTAGTCAGATTAATACAATGTTTAATTTCTGTAACCTAGTGGGGCACCTTAGAAATTAAGTATCAGGGGGTAGCCATGTTAGTCTGTATCCACAATTTAATCAGATGCATCTGAAGAAGTGAGGTTTTTTTACCCACGAAAGCTTATGCCCAAATAAATCTGTTAGTCTTTAAGGTTCCACCGGACTCCTTGTTGTTTTTCTTAGAAATTTAGTGCCAAACTCTCCACAATTTTACTCTTCTGAATGACAGTTTAGTCCTAAATATTTTACCCACTTAAACCACAGAATTCGTTTGCTTAAAGTTTGGTTAAAAAAAGCCTCACTAGGAAACAGGAACAAAAGAGTATCAGGAGAAAAGTCAACTTTACTGTTTTAACTCTGGCACCTAGTGAAAGAGACAAGGTATTAAAGAGTCCTAAATTGTATTTCACAACTGTATGAGCCTAAAGTCAACTCTTCACTACTGGGAATTATAAGTAAAATAAATCAAAGGATTTTAGCACCCTTATTCATTTAGAAGAGCACTGACTCAGAGTTCCATTGTAATCAGTAAGAGTACTCAGATGAGCAAATGCTGTTCAATTTAAGGGAGGCAAAAATCAGGGACAAAGTTTTAAAACTGTTTTCTTTAAGTAATAAAAATGAAACAGGATCAGAAAAGTACAGTGGATGCCAAGCACAGTACTTACACATTTGACATGAAAATTCTTACACCACATTTTGGTTTAAAGTTGTTGATTTTATTTAGGTAAATACATTTTTAAAAATAGCATCCTTCTACCTGTGCAGCAACTAACCTCTCACTTCTTTCGCAAAACCTTTATATGTTGATCGTTTCACAGCAAGCCTGCAATCAAGTCTTGGGTGGGTGCTTTTATTCACAACTGTCAATGTTAGAGGGCAATCTCAAAATTAAAATAAGAAGAATGACTGCCAAAGAAGAGATTGCAAGATGGTTGCAAAATTCAGTGGAAAGGCTTGTTAATTCTCAGGAGAGTGAATAAACACATTAACAAGAACTGTGAGAAAGCAGTGCAGAAGTGGAATATCTCAAAAAACTACAGAGCAACAAATATTAACAGGTCTTGGGTCATGACTAGTCACTAGACTCTACAAAAGCAGCCTTCTGCTCTCAGGCAATTACACAGAGATAGACAGAGTGTTTGCAGTGTAGTCAGACAGTTTCCCTTCGTTTTGAGTAATAAAGCCAATTTCTTGTTTCAGGAAATACACTTGAAAATCCTCTTCCCATTGGTTTCCTGGTCTTGATATTTGTTATGTCCCTGAGCAATTTATGTCCTTTAAATACAACAGAACCAAGTTTTGAGACATTCCTTTGGAATTTTAAATTCTTTAACTTTTTACTCACCTCTTGGTATTTTGTAGCCCGTTTCCCCTGGTTTTCTCAGATTTCTGAGAATGTGATCAGAATAGATATTAATTGTCATGCCACTCAGCCACCCTGCAAAACCTAAAGAAAAAGAGTCAAAGTAATAATATTAAAATACTGGACTGAAAACACCTGTTTTAATAGAACAAACTATGGTTTATACAAAGAAATAACCCTAAAATATAAGCAGTAATGTATCTCTAACTCTACATGAACCTGTAATTTCATCAAGCAGTTCTGGTGACATTGTAGGATTGGGGCCATAATTTACAAAGAACCAGTTGCAGGATTGGGGGCTATGAAAACAAGGACAGAAGGCTTTATTCTTATCACTACCCCAGATTTAAATTATACTTTTAATATATGCATATGTTCTCACACCCATACTGTGAAACTGAACTGCTCAAATAAACTAACATTCAAAAAGATGTTAAAGAAATTAATCCACATTGATCACTGTCAAAAAAGCATGCTTTAACCTGTCTTTCACTGGATGTGTTCCTGAATCTTCCACAGCAGATTCATCATTTTAGTTGTTACACAGGAGTAAGCACTGCAGATCCTGATGCAGGCCCAGCACAGAAATGTACATCCATAAGGCCCCTAATTCTGGAAATATTTATGCACTTCTAATTTTGTGTATGTGAATAGCCCCACTCTTTGTACTGTGCCTGCATCAGGTTGTCTCAGTATTTTCCACAGATACAGCTTGTACCTTGTTAATATTAGACATTCCCACATTTCCTTGACTTCAATGAGACCTCTCATATGAGTAAACTTAAGTATGTGCAGGTTTGCAGAATCAGGGACTAAAACAGGAACATCTACTTCTAAAAATTCTGCTACAGAGACTGCTGTCCAGCTTGGATGGCAAGCTTTTGAGTAAACTGCAAAGGCTCCATGAGCCCATATGGAGGCAGAGTTCTCTAGATTAGTGGGTGTCATAGGTTTCACCCCCATTCTGGACTTTAGAGTACGGATATGGGAACCTACATGTGAACCCCTAAACTGAATTACCAGTTTAGATCTGGGGTAAGTGGGGAAATGGGATCCTGGGAGGAAGCACAAGCAGGAGAGCGCAAGAGGGGAGGACTCCTGTCTCATACTGAGAAAGAGGGATGATCAATGAGTTCTCTTAAGTGCCTATACACAAATGCAAGAAGCCTGGGAAACAAGCAGGGAGAACTGGAAGTCCTGACACAGTCAGGGAACTACGATGCGATTGGAATAACAGAGACTTGGTGGGATAACTCACATGACTGGAGTACTATCATGGATGGATATAAACTGTTCAGGAAGGACAGGCAGGGCAGAAAAGGTGGGGGAGTTGCGTTGTATGTAAGAGAGGAGTATGACTGCTCAGAGCTCCGGTATGAAACTGCAGAAAAACCTGAGTGTCTCTGGATAAAGTTGAGAAGAGTGAGCAACAAGGGTGATGTCGTGGTCGGAGTCTGCTATAGACCACCAGACCAGGGGGATGAGGTGGACGAGGCTTTCTTCTGGCAACTAGCAGAAGTTGCTAGATCGCAGGCCCTGGTTCTCATGGGAGACTTTAATCACCCTGATATCTGCTGGGAGAGCAATACAGCGGTACACAGACAATCCAGGAAGTTTTTGGAAAGTGTAGGGGACAATTTCCTGGTGCAAGTGCTGGAGGAACCAACTAGGGGCAGAGCTTTTCTTGACCTGCTGCTCACAAACAGGGAAGAATTAGTAGGGGAAGCAAAAGTGGATGGGAACTTGGGAGGCAGTGACCATGAGATGGTCGAGTTCAGGATCCTGACACAAGGAAGAAAGGAGAGCAGCAGAATATGGACCCTGGACTTCAGAAAAGCAGACTTTGACTCCCTCAGGGAACAGATGGGCAGGATCCCCTGGGAGAATAACATGAAGGGCAAAGGGGTCCAGGAGAGCTGGCTGTATTTTAAAGAATCCTTATTGCGGTTGCAGGAACAAACCATCCCGATCTGTAGAAAGAATAGTAAATATGGCAGGCGACCAGCTTGGCTAAACAGTGAAATCCTTGCTGATCTTAAACGCAAAAAAGAAGCTTACAAGAAGTGGAAGATTGGACAAATGACCAGGGAGGAGTATAAAAATATTGCTCAGGCATGCAGGAGTGAAATCAGGAAGGCCAAATCACACTTGGAGTTGCAGCTAGCAAGAGATGTTAAGAGTAACAAGAAGGGTTTCTTCAGGTATGTTAGCAACAAGAAGAAAGTCAAGGAAAGTGTGGGCCCCTTACTGAATGAGGGAAGCAACCTAGTGACCGAGGATGTGGAAAAAGCTAATGTACTCAATGATTTTTTTGCCTCTGTCTTCACGAACAAGGTCAGTTCCCAGACTGCTGCACTGGGCAGCACAATATGGGGAGAAGGTGACCAGCCCTCTGTGGAGAAAGAAGTGGTTCGGGACTATTTAGAAAAACTGGACGTGCACAAGTCCATGGGGCCAGATGCGCTGCATCCGAGGGTGCTAAAAGAGTTGGCAGATGAGATTGCAGAGCCATTAGCCATTATTTTTGAAAACTCATGGCGATTGGGGGAGGTCCCGGATGACTGGAAAAAGCCTAATGTAGTGCCCATCTTTAAAAAAGGGAAGAAGGAGGATCCGGGGAACTACAGGCCAGTCAGCCTCACCTCAGTCCCTGGAAAAATCATGGAGCAGGTCCTCAAGGAATCAATTATGAAACACTTAGAGGAGAGGAAAGTGATCAGGAACAGTCAGCATGGATTCACCAAGGGGAAGTCGTGCCTGACTAACCTAATTGCCTTCTATGATGAGATAACTGGCTCTGTGGATGAGGGGAAAGCAGTGGATGTGTTATTCCTTGACTTTAGCAAAGCTTTTGATACGGTCTCCCACAGTATTCTTGCTGCCAAGTTAAAGAAGTATGGGCTGGATGAATGGACTGTAAGGTGGATAGAAAGCTGGCTAGATCATCGGGGTCAATGGGTAGTGATCAATGGCTCCATGTCTAGTTGGCAGCCAGTTTCAAGCAGAGTGCCCCAAGGGTCGGTCCTGGGGCCAGTTTTGTTTAATCTCTTCATTAATGATCTGGGGGATGGAGTGGACTGCACTCTCAGCAAGTTTGCCAATGACACTAAACTAGGAGGCGTGGTAGATACACTAGAGGGTAGGGATCGGATACAGAGGGACCTAGACAAATTAGAGGATTGGGCCAAAAGAAACCTGATGAGGTTCAACAAGGACAAGTGCAGAGTCCTGCACTTAGGATGGAAGAATCCCAACTAGGGACCGAATGGCTAGGTAGCAGTTCTTCAGAAAAGGACTTAGGGGTCACAGTGGACGAGAAGCTGGATATGAGTCAACAGTGTGCTCTTGTTGCCAAGAAGGCTAACGGCATTTTGGGCTGTATAAGTAGGGGCATTGCCAGCAGATCGAGGGACGTGATCGTTCCCCTTTATTCGACATTGGTGAGGCCTCATCTGGAGTACTGTGTCCAGTTTTGGACCCCACACTACAAGAAGGATGTGGAAAAATTGGAAAGAGTCCAGGGAGGGCAAAAAAAATGATTAGGGGTCTGGAGCGCATGACTTATGAGGAGAGGCTGAGGGAACTATGATTGTTTAGTCTCCAGAAGAGAAGAATGAGGGGGGATTTGATAGCAGCCTTCAACTACCTGAAGGGGGGTTCTAAAGAGGATGGAACTCGGCTGTTCTCAATGGTGGCATGTAGGAATGTGTTCCTCCCTAATCACAAGCCTTGAACAACGGCAAACTGTTTTCTTGGCAATTGAGGCGGGAGTGACCTTGTCCCTGGGTCTGTTTTGGAAAACATATTGGCTAGCCTGATAGTACCTTTGCAGCTGGCTGTTCACGCGCTTTACAGATGAGTTTGCTATCTTGTATAATTGCACACTGCGTGTATCCTGCCTGCCTTCTGAATGGGCAAAGATGTAACCACTAAGAAGAGTTGTAAACAAAGTAAGGAGAGAAATAAAAACCCCAGGAAAAGTTTTCCTGGGAGGCTTTTGGCTTGAGGCTTTTTGCAGGAGGCTTGTAAAGCTCTCTGGCTACCAGAAACCTGGCGTTCTGTTTTCTTTCCTGCGTCGTCACCACTGCAGCTGGTGACCCCAACGTGATACCCCTCTACTCACCGGCTGGAGATGCCGAGCGCGCCCGCGGCTGTTTGCCGCCCCTAATTCGTGAGTATGGGGGGGGGACTCTCTAGTGCCCAGAAGGAGCACGCAAGAGAGTTACATAAGATTATACGGCAGCGATCATGCATCGCTGTCCCGGTCGCTCATATTGAGGACCTTTTAAGGGAAATAGATCCCCCGTGCCCCTGGTATCCTGACTGCGGGTCATTACAGCTTCCTGATTGGATACGGATTGGGATCACCTTGCATAGTAAACCCCGTGCCCCAGTTCAGCACCTGCTGCTCTGGCAGCATTGTAAGGAGGCGCTGGAGGGGGTCGGCCCCGACGGCCCCAAGCCGGTCTCCCTTTTGCCCCCAGGTGATGGGCCACCCCCCTCCTACCCACAGCTGACCCTCCCTGCGCCGCCGCCCGTGGCGGCGCCCCCCTGCCTACCGGTCGGGCGGGGGGGCGCTGTCGCCGAGGCGGTGCAGCCAGTGCACGAGGCCGGTCTCTTGACCAGCGAAGAATCCAGCTGTGGGCTCGAGGCGTTTCCCGTCTCTAGGCGGGATAATGGAAATGGGGGGGAGATAGTGGACTGGGAGGCTCTCCCCTACTCGGTTCTGCGCGAGCTCCGCAAGGCGGTTCGTGAGACCGGGGTGCGGTCCACTTTCACCCTGGGGATCATGGAAGGTGTGTCAAACAGTTACTCCTTGCTCCCCCAAGATTGGAAAGACATGTGTCGCATGGTGCTGTCCCCCGCGCAATACGTTGTGTGGGATAGCGAGTACCAGCGAGAGGCGCTTGCGGCAGCAGCACAAGGTGGGGGGGCTTATCTTGCTGAGCAGTTGTATGGCACAGGGCAGTTTTTGAGCATCCCCCAGCAGGTGGAGGGCACGCCCCGGGCAGCTTATCCCTGGTGGTCTAGTGGTTAGGATTCGGCGCGCTCACCACCGCGGCCCGAGTCCGTGGGCGGATGAT